AGCGGGAAAGAGAGGAAGCAATATTTAAGTGGCACTGTAGGGTTATAGATAAAATTTTTTAAGTTTTGTGAAACCCACATTTTCTCAAGGAGGTTTAAATACTCACGAGAAACTATAGCCCCAAACTAATCTTTAAGCCTTAAACCTTAAGCCAAAACTGGCCTCCTCAAAACCAAGTCTGTTGCTGCTGAGTTGGTTCTGACTCTTAGTGACCCAACAAGATAGAGCAGAGCTGTCCCAAATGGTTTCAAGGCTGAAAGAAGGCCAGTTCGTTCTCCATGCAGCTGCTGGTGAGTTCAAACCACAGTATCATTCAGGTAGCAATCAAATGCTTAACAACTGCATTACTAGGATTTCTTATCATTAACTACATACTAGTGAGTCAGAATCAGCACTGGACTGCTTATCACAGGGTCGGCAGCTCAAACCTACAAGTTGCTCCTTAGAACAGGGTCACTATGAGTCAGAATTGAGTTGATGGCACTTAACAACAGCATGTATGTATATATGAGTCCTGGAATGGTGCTGTAAGTATTGGACGGTTCAAACCCACAGCCGCTCCTCAAGAAACCTATGAGTTAGAATCAATCCAATGGCACCTAACAGCAACAACTAACTACTGGGAACCACAAGTTTTTGAAATAGATTACTTTTCCGCTGTATTTTTCATTACTCCTAGAACAACACACAGTAGTAATAAACACAGTGTGGTGCTGTAAGATTAACAATGGACTGTGAACCACAAGATCAACAGTTCAAACCCACCAGCTGCTCCTCAGAAACCTAACACAGGGTCACTGTGAGTCGGAACAAACTTGACAGTGCTCAACAACAAAAACAACATATTCGTCAACGAGTCTTGGTTTGGCGCTGCAGAATAATGCACTGGACTACAAGGTCAGTTTGCAAGGAGAGGTTAGCAGTTCCAACTCACCAGCTGCTCCTCGGAAACGCTATACTGAGTTGCTGTGAGTCAGAGCTGACTTTATGGCACCTGCCAACAACCAACCCTCCTGCTGACAGGTTAACACGTTGTGGGAAAATCGATTAGAAATAAATTTCAAATAAACTATCAAAGAGATAGTTACATATTTTAAGAATAAATGTACAGTTTCCAATTTTTAACATTTTCAGGTCGTTTTTAAATGCATGATGGTAGATATTTAATGGGACTGCTTTGACTGGACACACTTAATGGTGTAAAACTGCCATTTCAAAATGTTAATGTTCAAAATGTGCCATTTTACATTTAATATGGAAAAGGAAGTTACAGTCTTTGGAACTATTCAAAATTTTGGTGAAAATTTCTAGAAATACGCAAGATAATTACAGCGTTTATAAATTTTTTACAGACTACATGAGTAAACATGTTGGCAGATTACTGAGCTAGCAGCATGCTTACACCTGTAGTCGCATTGCAAGCACATCATTTCAACTTGGATTTTATGTGTATCTGGGGTAACGTGGGAACTTGGGGATACTAATGGAGATTATGGAATGGTTACTTTGTTTTATCCACAATATATTAACACATGTTTAAGTTGGCTATTTACAATTCATGGGTATCATAAAAGTGGATTGGATATTTAAATTAAAACATATACTAATAGCCATTCGACCTAGCCTCAATGGATTGATGATCAGATCTCGACTAGAGAAAGATATAAAAAAAATTTTTGATAAAGGAAACAAGTGTAAATTGCTACAATTTGATGAGCTTGACGTATACTTATAGCGGTAGTAGTTCAACTAAGAGAGAATGGGTCTTCATATCAAGTATCAATGCTATCCCCTCTGTATACAGGCTAGATAAGGATGGGCAAATTAGACACTGGCTACCTAAAATGGGGGGTTTATAAAGGCACAAAGTGACTGGCTTATAAGTTTTCAAGAGGGAGTTTAGTTTAAGAGTGTGCGGGGGAAGGTAGAATCGCCACTGAATAATTTTCATCTTGTCTAGATGGGTCTGGTGAAAGAAGATGGGGATAAGATTCTTATGATTCAATAGTGAGTAATTGTTATCATGATTAATTTTAATTATCATAACTGTAAAAATACAAGTTTTAGAACAAATAGGGGGGAAAAGTTAATCTTACAGTCCAGGAACAGAGGACTGTAGGACCATCAGTGGAGAAGAGCACAAGCAAAATGTGCAGCCCTATCTGGAGAGGCAGCGACATCAGACATGGAGGCAGAGATGGGGACATGGAGAGATAGAGCAGCTGAGGACTCTAGACTCATGCAAAGAGAAAGGCTGTGTTTTGCCGGCCAAGAGGCAGGCTTGCAGAATGTGCCC